AAAGACCAGTCACTCAATGTTGAAGCCTTGGTTTGCATTAAGGATTGGGATCGGGCCGATCAACATTTACAAGATACAATTTCACCGGCAAGCCAATAATGGATCGATGAATTTAATCGATTAACATTTAATTTTGAAGACGATCCTTTAGCTTTAAATTAAATTGTAAATTTGTAATTTGTAAATATGTATTTACCTTTGACATTGTATTTGTAATTGTATAACTTTGTAAGTTTGTAAAATTTATAATTCGTCACAATATGATTGCACTCTTTTTTCCTTGCTAAGTTTTTATCCCAATTGGGTTTTTCTTGGTAAAGTTTTTAATGAGGTAATCATGAATTATAAATTTAAAAATTAATAAAGAAAGAATTTTTTTATATAGTTCGTATGTTCATTTCAAATTTCAAATTGTAATATATATATATATATAAATTTTAACACAAAATAACTTAATATTAAAAAAAAAGTTTAAATAATTCGGGCGGGCTCGGGCCGCCCGGCCGGGCTCAGGCCGCCTAATACAAGCCCGCAGCCCGTTCAAGGTGAAATTCGGGCTCAGGCGGGCGGCCCGAATTTCTCGGGCGGCTCGGGCTCGGGCTCGGGCAAAAATTCGGGCTTTTCAGGCGGTCGCGGGCGGCCCGTCCAAAGTTCCAGCACTGGTCTTATCATTTAGAGGTTATTTGGTTGAGAGATTCGTACTCTGATTTAAATCATGATTCATGATTCGCTACAGTATTTTCTCTCATAAAAAATACACATAAATTAAAAATAATTTTAATTTTATGATTATAATCCATGAACCAAACGTCTCATTTGCGTCACCTGGGACATAAACCCAAAACTCACACACCCGATAAATTGGCCACTTCCTAAATCCACTTACTTTCTCGCTTTTCTGCCACTCTTTACGTGGGTTTCTCTCTCTATAGGACTGCCGCTTATCTCATTAACAAATGAGGAACAAAAAAGACTCAAAAAAATAATAATAAAAAAAGAATGAAAAAGAAAAAAAAGGAGAGAGAGAGAGAAAGAGGAAGGGTGGGAGTGGGGGTTTCACTTATTTAAGAACATTATCCTAAGCAATTAGGAAAGTTGTACACGAGAAGGTCCCCTTAAACACCATCAGAAGTGGACCCTGCCTATACCCTTGAGCATAGTACAAATTATTTTAAAAATTGAAACAATCATGTTAGCGGAGGCAAATTCGTTGAAGATTCTCTCTAGCAAAAAATAAATAAATAAATAAAAATAAAAATACTTGGATATTCCACACAAAGTTAACCTTAAAGGTGCTGAGCGAGGTTAATATTCTTCAGTGCCATTCATCATTTACAATTCTCAACCGTTCGATCAATCTTTTTTTTTTCTTGTTTAATAACCGTCTGATCGCGTTAAACCATTACAGATCCAACTTATAACTCACCTAGACCAACAGTCTGTAACTAACACAAGAATTCTTAGAAATGTTCATTTCTTAAACAGTCGGCGAACATTTGATTCACTTAACATCCTACCAATGCGTTGTAAGTAGAGGCTTTTTAAACTTGAGAATTTTCATCCTAATTTAAAAACTGAGCCTCATGACATTTTTTAAGCAGTAATAAGCCTAACAATAGTCACTGAAAAGGACAAAATAAGAATAAAGATGATATAATTAGCACTGTATATATTGAAAAAGATATAATGCTTCTTCTTCTTAAGCATATATTGTTTCTATACATGACACAATCACACATTCTGCTGCATCTTGAAAAAACAAAGCAACATTCTTGCATAGCAAGTTCCCAAATATGATATTTCCTCTTTTTTTTTTTTAAACCTCTCTTTTCATTTTGTCCTTTCTTAGTTTACAGCCCCCAGGGAAAAGAAAAAACAAAATATTGATATACCTTTTAGACAATTACATACAGCCAAACTAATAAAAGAATTTAATTTGCAGCCGCAATTGCACGGAACATAAAAAGGAGGTGAATGATGAGCGTCCCTGAAAAATAAAAGTAGATGATAAATATTTTGGTATCTTTAAAAAATATCCGCAAGTTATAGAAAACTGAACAATTCTCTCTGCCTCTTCTCCTTGCAATTAAACCTCTTATGCAATATTGTAATAGAAATATAATAAAAATACATTGTGTATTTACACCCTAATGGAACCAATTAACACTAACAAAATAATAATAAAGGAAAGGAAGAAAGATTAAAACATTACCTTCAGGAGGGGAATGCGAAAAGCCTATCTGCAATCTTTGTTCGACAAATAGGGCACTCGGAGCAAGCAAGTGAACAAGATTTACACACTGCAGAAACGTGAGCTTGTTACTCGTTGCTACTAATTAACACAATATTAAGCTTTTAAAAACAAATAAAAAAATTTAAAAAAAAAAGCTCAAACAAGGAAGTTCAAAATGACTTACAACAAAAATGCCGGCACGGCAGAAGAATTGCTGCAGTAGGGGATTCAAAACATACTTTACACATATGGGAATTGGCATCTCCATTCCCCATTTGTTTGAGCTCCTTTTCCTTCATCTCTTGCATTCTAGCCTGAAAAAAAAAATCCTCGCTTGAGTCATTATGGGTGCGTTTAGTAAATGGATCCAGAATCATAATTTTAGATCTTGATTCAGGATCAGTATTTGTTTACAGTGATTCTAAATCATGATTTATAATCAGTGTTTGGTTTGGATGATTCTGAATCATAATTCGGAATCTGATATGATGTAAACTAGCTCAAATCATGATTCTAAAACCACCCCCCTCTTGATTCAAGGTGATTAAAACCCTTGATTCTAAATCATGGTTTCAGAATCATGATTTGAACCTAAAATCATGAATCATGTTTCTAGTTCCAGAATCATAATTAGAATCATCCTGGTTTGAATTAACTTTAAAATACGGTAATTCTATATCCTCAGAAGGCCAAACTATGAACAAAAGAGAACATTTCCTTTTCAAATTTAGTAAAAGCTGCAAGTTATCGTCTTCTCACAAAGAACTCCTAGACGTATCATGTAAATAATGGGAACAAGGAGCATACTGTACTTTTAATAGACAGAATCAACATCAACAGTGATACCTTGAGACGAACAACTAGGGGTTCTTCCTTAGGAACTTCATCAGCCGGCGCAGAGATACCAAGAACTTCTCTCTCTTTAGAAACGGTAGTACTGTCAATGTCATTTGTTTTCACATCATTGATATTTTCTGGAGGATCACTCTGTCTCTCATCAGAATTCGTCCCGGGGACAGCTCCGCCCTCTTTCTTTAACCTTGCAACAAGCACCCACATGTTGGCTAAATCATTTTCCAGAGCTTCTTCCCTTCTCTTTGCCTCTTCAACCTTTTTCCTGTATTCTTCCTCAACAAACTGCTTCTCAGCAAGGGCAGCCTCAAGAGCAGCCTCCCGCTGTTTTCTTGCCAGGAGTTCCATCTTCAAATCATCCGGATCAAGATTCCATGACTCAAAGTCATCACTTCCCATGGCAGATAAATCATTCATACGACCAGAGAGCCTCACTTTTCTCCCTGTTCTACTCCCATCACTGTACTTCCGGCTAACGCCATTTTGCACAACAGCATTTCTAGAATTTGCTAGCTCCCGAGCAGACAACAATTCTTTTTCGAGTTTTGCACTCTGCAATGATAGCTTCGTCACTTCACCAGCCAAATTCTTCAACTCAACAGCAGCAGCAGAGGCCAGCTCCTTAGCATAGGAAGCTTCTTCAGCCAGTTTCTGATTTTGAACACGCAAGCCACTGTTCTCTTCTGAGAGCTGAACCTGCTCCAGCTTTAGTTTTTCATTCTCAATCTCCTGAGCAAATGAAAAGAGCGCTAATCAGTATTGAAGAAGCATAGTGTGAAAGTGAAAAAAAAAAGATCCTGCTTTGTTAAAAACAGCTCCTTGAGAGAGAACTTGTGCCTACTCCATGAACCTGTTGAGTTTTTAAACAACTGAAAATGGACTGACATTCACACCAAAAACAAATGATAGAAAGAAAGGGTGCGTTTGGTTGCAGTGGGAAATGGTAATAGGAATGGAAATGAAAATGGTAATAGAATATAATAGAAAGAAAAGATGATTTATTTATTTAGCTCTACTTTTACAAATGCAATAGAATGGGATATGAATATTTTCATATTGACAAAATTACCCCTCAAGTTAATATAACTAATATCATATATATTAATATAATCATTTAATAACTAATATTATATATATATATATA